TGGTTAATGTAGTCCAATTACATGGAACATGTTGTATTTCATCAGTATCCAAGAAGATGACAACTAACCACGACCTAAAATAAATTGAATTACAAATAAGTAATAAGTAATTACCTATATAATATTATAGATTCGAGTACCTATATAATATGTATATTATATTTTCATTTATACTTCATGAACAAAAGGTATAATTAATGAAGAACAGTTATCTATTGGTAAACGAACAAGTTTCATTTTTACTTGTCCAATATCCMAYGCTTGGAGATGTCCTAATTGATTTACTATTTGTATACCAAACATTGATGAAGAACAAGGATTATGGAAAAAGTCATTAAACTTTTCATAACACCTTCCAATAACTATTGTTGATTGATCTGATTTTTTTGTAGCTATGTTTTCAAKTTCTACAATATTTCCATTTAACATTTTCACACAATTGTTGGCGTCATCTATTTTTAATACTAAACCATCCAATGTTCTCCATCCAGAATATTGGGGTGTACATGAATCATCCTATAAAATCATCATATAAAGTAATTTTTTAGGTACTTAGCCTCAGGTGACTCCTATCAGACTATAGGATTTTCATTTCGTGTCGGATGTACAACTGTAGGCATAATAGTGAAGGAAGTCTGTACAGAAATTTGGAATGTTTTACAACCCACATATATGCCTAAACCTACGGAAGAAACTTGGAGAAACTCCGAGATCGGTTACAAAGAAGTATGGAATTTTCCAAATTGTGTAGGCAGCATCGACGGCAAACACATATCTATAAAGTGTCCTCCTAATAGTGGATCAGATTTCTTTTGCTACAAACAGTTTTTTTCTATTGTACTCCTCGMAATTGTGGATCCATTTTATAAATTTATCATGGTAGATATTGGCAGTTACGGGCGCCACAGTGATAGTGGTATATTTGAAAATTCATTATTTTATAATGAATACATAAAACGGAAATCTCTGTTACCTCCTAAGGCACTACCTGGTACGACTGAATTAGTTCCACATGTATTAATAGGCGATGAGGGTTTTGGATTGCAAACTTATCTCTTGCGCCCTTTTCCGAGATCGGCAGTCCTTCATGATGAAAGAAAACGAACATTTAATGAAAGGCTATGTAGARCAAGACGTGTAGTAGAAAATGTGTTTGGTATACTAACACAAAAATGGAGAATTTTTTTAAGACCTATTGAAAGTGATGTACAAACGACCGTACATGTAGTGAAAGCCACATGTTGCTTGCACAATTTTATTAAAATGAAACAAAGTACAACTGTTGTCAACGACATTGAAACGCCACATGACATTCACGGGCTTACTTCAGCAAGACCAACAAATCGCAGATCATCAACTGCTGCATTCGAAGTTCGAGAAAAATTTGTAAATTACTTTAACCAATAAAATGCACATTGTAATAACTWTTGTAATAGCTTTATAATAAAATAATTATTATAATTAATACAATTCAATTAATAATTATTATATTGGTAAATAAAACACATTTCATACTCATACATATTATTTTATATTTAACATAATATAATATATAAATTATATATAACATTTTTTACATACCATTCTCATTCCATTCGTTTCCAATATTTTTCCAAGTCTCATCCTTCAAACCAACATTCTTATAATTTTAGCTACTAGTATCATACAGAAACGTATATTTTCTCACCAATTCTATGAGTTGTTCTGTCATAGTGTAATATTCATCGACAACGACTGAACGACAGCTATTGCAACAATGAATTGAAATAGTGGTTGTGTTTTATTATATAGTATATAATATTTTATATTTATTTTATAATAGAACTATMAGGGGCCTTGATTGGGATGTTTTGTTGTGTCTGCGGTATGTACTCCTCGCCAAAAATAACGCTGTATCGCGCGTGATTTTGTGATTTTGTACAACGTCGCGTTCTACCGCCGCGTTAATCACGCTGACGAGCCATGTTTGACGGTCGATATGATTTGTAATTGAATACAACGCGACGGTCTATAACGCGACGTTAATAACGCTTTAACGCGTTCTGTTTGACAAGGCCTTAAAATATATTGTTTTTAATTTTAATTAGTTCAACATGTCAAATTCTATTTACAAGTCGTACCCCCGCCATCATGTATACCATAGGAATAACCATACTTGAAGTTATGTATTTTTGACCACAAAGTTCTTTGGTAGATGCTTCAATAGGTCTTAATAAATCTATAATATCAGAAATATCTTTGATTTCTTTTGCAGATATCATTGATGGAACTGTAATAAGTTTATGCACAATATCATTGATTATTTTGCTTAGTTTAGTGAAGCGTTCTAACATATAATAAGTATAACTTATCATCTTGAATAAGTTTACCATCAACATTGGTTGCTTTTCGCAGTTCGTCACTTGCCACAACACTATGCTTAAACCATTTAACAATAATTTTCACCTTTGAAATTAGGTCTGTCAGTTTGGAGACACTTGAAATTGCATTCTGTACAACAAGATTCAATAAACGTGCAAATCAAAGAATGTGTTGTTTTTTTCCAAAAGACAAATCTATTGCTTTAGTCATGTTTGCCGCTCCATCGGTTACCACTGCAACTATTTTTTGTTTGGTAATATTCCATTCTGTGCATACATCTACCAATTTAGTAGCTATATATTCACTTGTATGTCTCTCGTATAGTTCATATACTCCTAATAATGCTGCGTTGAATTTGTATTGATCAACAAAGTGAATAGTAACATCAATATAACTCCTAGTTTGGATGTCTGTCCAAATATCTGTCGTTAAAGTGAAATATTATACATTTTTTAATTTTTCCATAAAAATGTCTTTCATTACATCATATTTTTCAAATATGTTGCTAGTAATATATCGACGGCTGGGTACTTTAAAATTTGGTGAAACTGCCTTCATTAAGTACTTAAACCCTTCATCTTCGACTATGCTTAAAGGCTGAATATTGTCTTTACAAATCATAAACATAATTGCACAGATAATTTTTTCGGATTTGACACCACCTTCTTTGAACGATGCCATAACACCAAATGATTCTGAAATCGTTTTTTGCCGTTTAAATGCTCCCATAAAAGTGTCATTAGATAGTATAAACAGTATACGTTTAATATCAACGATAATTACATTAGCAATAATCCAAATATTGGCCCCTTATAGAAAAATGTCTAGTTACGTGCCTGTCTGTACCAGAGCCAAAAATATGATTCGAGGGGACTGAGAACAAAAATCGGATTTAAATTTTTAGAGTGACTACCGTCCGACCGTAGCGCACGGTAGACGTCCATATGTTTCCGAAAAGCAAGATATCAGTATGTAGACGCTTACCTGATATGTTACTTGTGGAAACTTATTAAACCCCTGCATTACCTATAATATATTTTTGTGTGTATAAACAAATTCTAAAATTAAACCAGAAAATTCAGGTGTCCATCGCGTACGGCACATTCACGTCAGCCGAGCTATCTGTACGTAATAGTCGTAATACGTTTCAGTATTTCACGAACTACAAAACAATCACCAGGTGCATATAAGACACAGGTAACGACAGTCTACCACTAACCTTTTCTAGTTATAATGTTATATTTGTGAATCTTTAACAATAAATTTAGCATCGTTCGTTCTCTTACCACTTTACTAGTTCCCAACCTGTACTCGTTGAATAGTGTTTCATTATTTAATAATATTACCATGATATTTTGTCAATATTACATCCACACAAGAGGTGCATTTTTTTCAAAACAACGAAAATTCTCGGATAAAATTAAAATTGAACTTGAGTTGAAAATATTATAAATTGTTTACAAGTGTAGTTCAAATTTGAAAAACATATTACATCCCTTGAAGTTAAACATTGGATTGAATATTTACACAACTATTTTTTATTTTTTATTGCTTTCGTTATTGAGAGTTTTCGTAATGGGGAGTAATTAATAGGTTTTAAATCAAACAAACCATTTTAAGTTAACTTAATGTTATTTAGAGTTTTTCGCTGTAACGTGTTTTGTTATAAAGAGTAGGTAATCATTGTTCAAAAAATGATTTAACTGAAGTTGTAACTAAATTAAAGAGGAAATTCAACTGTACTGTAGAGCTATCAATAGACGAAGACAATAATTTGAACGGTATTTTTATCCAAGATTTGATTATGGTAGAATCATTCAGTTCATTTCCAGAGATATATATTATATAATATAAAAGTAACAATTTATATAAATACATTTTTAAAATTTTTTTTGTACAGATACTTTTTGCAGATGCCAAACTACTTGATCTGAGGCTTCCTGTTTATGTTTTAATGACTGAGGATGGCAATGGGCAGAGTGAAATTTGAAACATTCAAAAAGAACAACCCAATATTAATTCAAACTCGCGTATATGTAACTGAAAAAGATATTAAGGAAAGAAATGTAATAAGGCAAGTATTTCCAAATTCTTCATTAACAATAAGTAGTATATATTTCATAAGCTTATTTCGCACATTACGGACCTTCAATCGGGAAATAACGTGTGAAAAAAAGAAATACAACCTCCAAAGAAAGGGATGATGTTAAACTGATATTTCAAGAATTAACATACTGCAAATCTGAAGAAGAATATGATATGATATACAGCCGCCTTCAATCCATTGCACCTGAATCTATCATTAATTATTAAAATAAAAATTGGCACAATATAAGAAAAGAATGGGCGATGAACACCGTTTTAACCGATTTAACACCGGAAATTTCATGAACAAAACGAATATATATATAATATATATAATAAAAGATTATAATATTATTATCATATTTTTATAATTACAGTGTGACCCGTTACTCTACAGTGCTCTAGACACAGCGTTAATATAATGATCAAAATTTAAAATAATTTTTAATTCAACGTTATTTTAGACATCGACGAAAAACTATTGATAAAATGATAAATTATTAAATAAATATGCAAATCCTATGGTCATGGATAGGCCCTTCGACATTTATCTGGAGGATACTGATTTGTTCTGTGTTTTCTAAGTTTCCCTGATCAAGCTGTTTATTGGGATCATTGTCATTGTCAGTGTTAGTGTAGCCCTGAAAAGGGCTGTTTTGATTATGTGCTATGCTCATAGTAGGCGTGCGATCAAACTGATGGTCGCTTGTCGTGTTGTTGGCTATTGGTCGCGTTATCGAACATATGTAAGGTAACGCGTGCACTGGAGGCGTCGTGCAGGATGCCAACATACTCCCCCAGTGGTTCTAATATCATCGCCAGACAAATTTAAATTTTACGTGCACATTGCTTTTGTTGCTAATTGTTTTGCATCTCATAATGAACCTAAATAATAATTATACTTTAATTTTATCCAACATAGTAAAATTGTATTTTTAACTTAATTATTTCACCACATAATTTTCTAGCTTTTAACATACAGAATTCCAAATCATTTGGTTTCACTTTTTTTTCTATAAACCGTTTTATGTTGCTTCTTAATATTGGCCAGGCACATTTGTCTTCTAAAAACCAATAACTTGGTACAGCCTCAACAGTGTCATCCACTTCAAAATGAATGACTGTATACATTATTAGGAGTAGCTATAAAAAATAAGACAAATCTCAAATTAAGTACAAGGTATCTATATTAATAATCAGTTGGGTATATTTTATATATTACTTGCTAGTTGATATTTTATTCTACAGATGTATTAAGATTCTATATTAAGTGTTAAGTTTAAGCTGATGAATGTATTAGCTATATTATGATCATTTATTTTTAAACATTTTTAATTGGCCAGTACTGAAGTTCACTAGCTATGTCTTTAAAATTATACATATTGAGATGTGAAGAATCAATTGGTTGTTATAATATTGGCTCATTAGTTACGAAACTTTTTCAATGTTTTTTAGATTCAACAATATTTAGCACTTTAACTACATTATTGTTTTGGGTTAATATGTAAGAATCAGCAACTTTTTTTGTATTTATTGTGAAATGCCCTATATTTATTTTCCGATATTAAAGTCCAATTAAATAATTTTCATCAATTAATGGTCCAAATGAATGTGAATATGTTAAATTAATTTTATTTATTGAATGGATGGTGGTTTGAAAATTGTTTTGCTCTTCGTTGTAACGTTTKATTACTTGTTGCAAGGATTTTTCATGTTTTCTAACTTTTTTTTTTAAAGTCTTCATGTAGTCTTCGAAAGTGAAACAGCTAATGTTGTCTAATGGTCCAAAATTATTATTATCATCCACTATGTGTAGAAGACCATGCACATTATGTGAAATCGTGTAAACTCCGTATATTTCGTCTCCCTTATGTTTTTCAGCGGTAGAATATGCCAGTCCAGTATGGGGTAGGTCAGCACATACTAAAAAGGTCGATGTCGCACTAAACGAGTCCTGCCGACTCATAACTGGTTGCCTAAAAAATACGCCGGTAGAACAATTATATATACTTTCAGGAATAGCCCCTCCGCCAATAAGAAGATCCACGCAAGCAGACTGGGAGAGAACGAAAATAACAG